TCATCTTGGTTTCATTCAAGAGTTGTTATAGATGCTGAGCTGTGGGCAGGAAGGATCTCCTGCAACAAATTCAAAGAATCTGGACACAGATACTGAGCCATCCAGCTGGATCCAGCTTGCTGTCAAATCTGGCGGGCCTCTCGGTCCTCCTGGGTAGCAGGACTGCCCGACTGCTGGGTAGAATTCCTCCATGAGCAATGGTCACTCCTCCCAGCAGCCTGCCGAGCTTCTCATCACCACGAATAGACAGCTTACAGTGCCGGGGGATGATCCCGGTCCTCCCGTTGTCAACAGCTGAGTTTCCCACCAGCTCCATGATCTTGGTGGTCAGGTACTTGAGCACAGCCGCCAGGATGATGTAAATTCAACCAAGGGGCCTCTTTTTCAACTCATTTGGGGCTGTAGCTGATGTATTTGAACTTTTGAGATGTTAATCAGCTGCTCCTGGTTGTTAAAAAACCCCTTGTCGCCATGGTTACGCATCATAACAAATGCCCAAAGTAAAAAGGTTTCTGTAAAAATCATTAAAAAAAAAAAATCATACAATTTTTTTTATCAGTGAAGATTAAAAATAAATTAACGGTGCCGGATTTATTGTGAAATCCTGTTTTCCCTTTGACTTTATTAAATAATCTGTTAATTAAAGTTAATTCAACTGAAAAATCATAAAAAGACAATTATTGAATCTCTCAGGAATATTTCCCTCCAACATGTTCAAAGAAGAGACACAGCCTTTGGTTCAACTTTATTCTAACCCACAGATGTACAAATCACAAAACAAGCATGACACTTTAAATTAAAGCTTTAAATCAAAGCTGAACTTTAATTCAAAGCTAAAAATAATGTGTATACAAGAAAAATAATCTGTATACAAGAAACAAAACCACAATGAGTGCAAATACATCAAATGATGAAGAAAAATATAAAATTTTAAAAATAGATATCTTGATGCATGCTCAATAACCCAGGTAGAAAAATCTAAAAAAAGTTCAGTCTGGTCCTCTGGACGTTCAAAAACAAACAAACAAACAAAAACAAAAATGTAGAAATGTTTCGTCTTTCATCCGAAAGAAGAAACATTTCTACATTTGTTGATTTGTTTTGTTTTTTGAACGTCCAGAGGACCAGAATGAACTTTTTTAGATTTAAATATAAATGTTTTTGTAGAATCTGTTTCATCAGATTTAATTCAGTTCAGTTTATTTATACAGCGCCCAGTCACAACAGAAGTCGTCTCAGGGCACTGACAGAAATATTCATATATAAAAATAATAATTGAATATTATTTATCTGAGGAGCAGACTGCTTTGAGTAACTCATCGCAGAACTCTTATTAGCAGGACGGATTCTGGACATGCCTCTGGAATCTGTCCTAAAGTGCAGGTGCAAATCCAGGCTGAGCTGAGCCAGGCTGAGCAGGGGTGTGCAGAGTTGGGGCTGATTAGGGGCAGTGCAAAAGGGGCATAATTCACAGATGAGGCCCCTCTGTTCCCATCAGGTGTGAAAACTGGCTGTGATCAGTCTTAGGCCCTTTTTACACGGACACGGTGGGGGAAACATAGGTTTCTTTGTATGTTAATTAGAGGAAAAGATCCTCGTTGACACAGACAAATTTTGTGTTTACATGCATCCAGAGGACTGGTGTCTCTTCCAACACAGATGTTGGTCACAGCACCTGGATTCTGACGTAGATTAACTACAAGATTAAAAATATATTCCATCAGGCGTAGTTAAGAAAGCACTGTGTCCGCCGCCATGTTGATAGAAATATGCCGTCTGTGGAGGTGAACAGCTGAGTCTTGTCCTGAAGAGCTGGCTCTCCTGTGTTGAGCCATGCGTCTGTGAAGAGGCTGTTTAGTTTCTCCAATGTAGAGGTCTGGACAGTCCTCACTGCACTGGACCACATACACTACACCACTCTGTTTGTGTATGGGTGTTTTGAACAGAGAGCCCTAAACTCCTTTGAGGGAACAACGCCAAGCCATTAGTTCCGATATGTGGATGATACCTGGGCCGAGGAAACAGAAGTGTTCACCAGACACATTAACTAGGTCGATAACAACATCAAGTTCACCAGAGGACAAAAAAGGTCCCAAATCAGCCTTGAATCAGCTAAAAAATACTGGTGGAATAGGGATATTTCCGTGGCGAGCTGCATGTAGAACAACCGTCAAGAATGCCAGACAGCATCTCTTCCACCTCAGACGTCTCACAGAAGACCCTCAGGACGTTTCTTATAAAAGGTGCATGTTGATCACTGAGAATATCCTCAAACAACCCAACCACCCCGGACATTCACTCCTCTCTCTGCTGCCATCAGGCTGAAGGTTTCACTGCATGAGAGCAAACACAGAAAGGAGGAGGAGCTTCTTCCCTCAGATTATCCACCTGCATAACTCTGAGCATTAAGAAAGAAAGAAAAAACAGAAGTAATGAATCCGGATTTGCATTGCAGTATTTCTTCATCTTGTATATTTTATTTCCGGTTTGAGTGTGTGTGGTATTGTTCTTTATTTATTAATTTTCCTTTAATTTCTTGTGTGTCCTTACTTATATGCTGATCTTTGGATGCAGGTACAAGAAATTTCACTGCATAGTATACAGTATGTATGACTGTGTATGTAAATGGTAAATGGACCGTACTTATATAGCGCCTTTCTATCTTATTTCAAGATACTCAAAGCTCTTTACACTATAATCTGTGTCCTCATTTACCCATTCATACAGCTCTATACTAGATCTATACAAAGCTAATTGAACAAATCATTCTAAAGAGACTAATCAGAGCTTTATCACATTCATACACCGATGGGACACACATCAGAGGCTATGAGGGGTTCAGTGTCTTGCCCAGGAACACTTAGATATGTGACTGCTGGTGGATTCGAACCCCCAACTCTTGCATTGGAGGACGACTGCTCCAACCACTCAGCCACAGCTGCCCACATGTGACAACTAAAGTTTTATCTTATATATTCTTAAATTATTATCTTCTTTGCTGCCCATCTCGACACCAAGCCTTTAATAATCCAAAAAGCCTTTCTCACTGTGCGTTCAGATGCACTCACACCTGCCCTCTGCCGTTCCTGGGCAAGCTCTGCACTGGTGATGATCTGATCTCATAGCTGCATCGTCTTTAGTGGACAGTCCTGACGAATGCTTGATATTCTTGGGCATCCTGAAGCCTTCTTCACAGTAATTAACCACTCTTCATGAAATTCTTGGTGATTTGATAAATGGTTGATTGGAGTGCTATCTTACAAGCAGCAATGCACTTACAATTCATCTAATCACTCTTCACAATCTAGAATTAATACAAATTGCCACCATAAAGACTGAGGCAGCGAACTTTGTGAAAACCAAAGTTTGAGTTATTCTCAACTTTTGGCCACAGCTAGATTGTGGGGAGGTATTGCCGTGAATTGGACCTGCTTCCCACAGTTTGTCACTTCTCTGTCTTACCATTCAAGATGATGTATTTTTAAACAGCCCTCCTAACTAAACATTTATGCTGACTTAGCACATTCTTTCATGAAAATGGTATTTCTTGAAGGTGGTAGCCTCTTTCAGTAGGATAATTCTTTTGGACAGTTTGCTAAAGGGATTAAATAATGTTTTGAGGAACACAAAATCAAGCTTGGGTTCTTCTGTTGGCCGCTAAATTCTTTCATTCTCAGTCTGATTGAGCATCCATCGTAATTGCTATTCCGTACAGTAGTAGCTTTTTGCACCTAAAGATCTGCTCCAAACAACTTGGTGTCAGATGACACTGCAGGAATTCAGAGGTTTGGTGGAGCTCATACCTCAATTAGTATATGTAGCAGCAGCAAGAGTCCTACTCTGTATTTCGTGTGGTCATAATGTTGTGGCAGATCAGTGGTGCTCAGTATTTCTTTTTTGGCAGTACAGGATTTATGATAATCTATGTATCAAACCATCAACAAATCCATTTAAACAAGATATCCAAGGAATATTTCATACATTTTAAAATGGTTGTCAATAATCAGTATGGTGACTCCATCAATTTTCAATCAGGTCATCTGGACACTTACTTTTTTTTTTTTCTGAAATGTTTCACCTTCCATCCAAGGTGAAACGTTTCAGCACAAAAAAAGAAACTGTCCAGATGACCTGACTGAAAATTGTTGGATTGTTTACCTGGATTATTGCGCATGGACTTTGTTGGTTTTGAATATGGTGACTGTTGATTATAAAAAGGCGAATAAATTAGTTAACCTGTTATCGGTCAGTAAACTTACCTGCTGCATCAATTCTAATTACTAATTGGCTTTTATGTATGTGAATGTTCCTGTAAAGTTCCCTGAGACAACTTTGTTGTGATTTGGCGCTATATAAATAAACTGAATTGAATTGAATTGAATTCTAACACGTGGAAATATAAGTGTAGTAGGGTGAGGAAAAAGCCTCATTCCCTTAATTTTCCTTGCATACAGCAATTACATAGACAAATATTGAACAACTCTAGGTCTTGTCTACAACTGTTTTTGTAAAACAATCATTTTATCTGGCTTTGCTAAAAATATCCTAATGAACATGACACCATTTCTAGAAGTGTCTTCTTCCATACGGGTACAATGAAAAGGTGTAGCAATTATGCCAAGCCTGTATTTGGCGCTGTAACGCTGCCAGGAAGAAACACGTAAAACAGGAAACAAGGCGCATTCTAATTGAGTACTGTAGTGCCACACTGCAGACCACCTTGTTTTTGTCAACTTAATAATTTATCTTAGAGAAGGTCATCTTCAAACAGGTAAATATACTAAACTTATTATCCAAACATGGCTGTGTCAGTCACACACACACACACCTTTCTTTTTTGTTAATTATTTTATTAACATTTGTCTTTGTTGTACGCAGCCAAATAATCTACGTGTTATTGGTTCATTGCGTTACATTTCATTGATAATATGACTAAAAGTCACTATACATTTTGTACTGTCTAACAACTTTGTCTCCTCTTTTTACCTGCTTGCCCTCAGTGGCTTAAAGCCAAGGTAAGACATACTTATGCTTGCTTTTTTCTTCTCCACATGTCAGTTACACAATCCATGTGTTCATAAGTCTCTAATAATCACTATTTGTTGTATTTTTATATTTTGTATTTAAATTGAATTGTTTAAGTAGCTAATATGATTCAAATTTGTTATTATTTAAGTAAAATTGACAAGAGGCATCCATGTTTGTGAAGATTTTTTCCCCTCTAGCTTGAATATAAGGTTTATATTTTAGATTGACAACATTCTTACTAATACTCCCACATACAACTGTCTTCATATAATTATGAATAATTGACATTTTATACAGGTTGATCACCTTTTTAGTGGAGCTTTGTGTCTCCCTTTAGTCAAGCTGAAACAAAAAATATTTAAAAGTTTTTTCTCCATCACATCCCAACTTTAAAGGACATCTCACTTTATTATTATTATTATTATTATTATTATTATTATTATTATTATTATTATTATTATTAGTAGTAGTAGTAGTAGTAGTAGTATTAAAGACAGAAGAATATTAGTGTCAGTAAAGCAGTCGAGACAAAACCTGCTACAATAACTGGATTTTTGCTTCTTTAGCAACACGGGAACAATGCAGCAGGACGAGGAGGGACTGTTTCCAGGACCAACCCTCCCTCACAGAAACCTCCAAGCCCCCCCATGGCGGGTCGGGGGACTCTCGGGTAAGAAGTTACTGGTTCAAACCCAGTTAAACAAGACTCTGTCCATAAATGTAAACCACATTAAATAAATACTTTGTTGAGTGATTTAGATAACACTCATACAAAATTCAATTCAATTCAAAAATACTTTATTAATCCCAAAGGGAAATTATTTGTTGTTGTAACTCGTGATCCTCATTTCATTAAGAGATGTTATAGATGCTGATGGCTGTAGGCACGAAGGATCTTTTGTAAATGTCCATCCCACAGTGGATCCTAAACAACTGGCTGCACATGCCATCCAATCCATCCACCCAGACTCGGCCGGTTCCCTCAGGCTGTAGGACCGCCCTAATGGCGGGCAGAACTCCTCCCAGAGCGATGGCCATGCCTCCCAGCAGTCTGCTGAGCTCCTCGTCGCTGCAGACAGCCAACTGTAGGTGCCGAGGGACGATCCTGTCCTTCAGCTGTCCTGAGCCGTGTTTCCTGCTAGTTCCAGGATCTCAGTGGTCAGGTACTCGTGCATAGCTGGCAGGTAGATGAGAATGCGTCCAAAGAACATCCTTTCAACTTATTTGAGATTTGGGCTCTAGTTGAGATATTATTTGAGCTTTTGAGATGTTAATCAGCTGCTGTTGGTTGTAGAAAACTGCCTCGTTGCCATGGTTACACATCATAACAAATGTCCAAAACTAAAAAAGTTTCAGTAAAAATCCTTCCAGCTGCACAGCATCGGACACCAGAGGAAACCATCATCCAAAAAAATGTGATTTACATCCAGAAAAAGAGGAATTAAAGTTTCCAAAAGCAAAATCTCAGAATGAAAGTAACAGGGCTGCTCCAACATGCAGCCACCTGGAGCGGCACAATTCTAGAACTACTTACTTTTATACTTTTATTTTGTTAAGACATGTTAAGGTGGCGCAACTGGTAGAGCTGCTGCCTCTCAGCGAGCAGGTCCTTGGTTCAAACCCCGGGCCAGGGTCCTTTCTGGGTGGAGTTTGCATGTTCTCTCCGTGCATGCGTGGGTTTTCTCCGGGTACTCCGGTTTCCTCCCACAGACCAAAAACATGCATGTTAGACTGATTGGTAACTCTAAATTGTCCATAGGTGTGAGTGAGAGAGTGAATGGTTGTTTGTCTCGTTTGTCTCTATGTGGCCCTGTGATGGACTTGCGACCCATCCAGGGTGTACCCCGCCCCTCGCACAGTGATTGCTGGACATGGGCACCAGCGACTCCCGTGACCCAAAATGGAATAAGCGGGTAAAGATAATGGATGGCTGGATGGATTTCCAGTTTCCGTTGGTGTGCTGTGTGTTAACTTGAATGTGAACATTGGTGTAACAGTCTGTCGTTCGTGTCATTCGTTGGGAGAATGAACGTCGGAGCAGGACCGTTGTGAGCTCAACAATAAACTACAGCGACAACCGCCTAAAAGGATCTTCAGTGGTCTCGCCTATTATCCATTGTCACGAAGAAGAGCTGCGACACTGTACTTAAAAACCCTCAACAACTTCAATAGTTTATTTGAGCTTCTGGAGGTTTCCTCCCCCATCCAAGCAGTTCATATTCATCAGCAGAGTCAGTATTGGTTTTTCCAAACATCAAGTCTGCTTTCCTTTTTCTGTTGATTGTCTGAATCCAGGCGTAACACTCCTTACAAGACTCTGGAGCCAGTGAAGCCCCCAGTGGTGCCCAACGACTACATGACGAGCCCGGCTAGACTGGGCAACCAGCACAGCCCCGCACGCACTGCTTCACTCAACCAGAGACCCCGCACACACAGGTGGCCCCACATCCTCCCTCTGCATAAAATATAAAAGAATTCTCAGCTGCCGTCAAGGTCAGATGACACTAACGCAGCACACAGAAGCTTTTGTTTTTACCCGTTAGAAGTCTTGCACATGCTTGCAGAGATGTGGATCTGTTGCCTCGGTGACGAGAAAACAATTACAGCAGAATGACATGTTGAAAAGAAACAACCTGTCGTGTACTGCTCTCTGATGGGCTCTGAATGTGTCTACAGTGGCAGCAGCGGGGGCAGTGGGGGCAGGGAGAACAGTGGAGGCAGTGGAGGTGGTGTCCCCCTCGCCGTTCCCACCCCGTCTCCTCCTGGTATGGGCCAAGGTGAGTCCCAGCAGCCGACAAACCCCACACCTTGTTGTTCCTTTCACATCGGCAACATTTGATCATACTTAAAGGTTCAAGGTTGTTTATTGTCATTCACATCACATGTGGTGCACGAGGTGGAATGAAATTGTGTAGTCAAGGTTCCAATTACACCCAATAATACCAAAAATATAAAGTATAAAAAGGAACGCTATATAAGGATCTGATATTCGCTAAACAGTAATAATGTAAAATAATACTGTGTATTAAATAGCAGCCCGAACATGAGTCTGTAGTGAGCAGATGGGTGCGAATACAGCAGCTTAAAGGTAAGAGATCAGCAGCATTTTCATTCAACCTTTATTTAAACAGATAAATCACATTGAACCTCAAAGACATTTACAAGTGAGACCGGTTTGAACAAACAAAAGCAGTGGTTAACTGGACACATGTAGGTGTTGGAGGCAAAAAAAATTCCTATCAGACTTATTTTTTCCTGCCTGAGAAAAAAACCCCTCTGATATAAAAAAAAACACCTCGCACAAACAAGCACATAGTGGCGTAGACATTCTGCAGACGAGGGAGACGAGAGCGGTCAGCAATGTTCGTAGATGCTCTCGAGGGCACTGTAAGAGTTCTGATAAGGATGGAATAATCAGCCAATGTCCTCCAGTGAGATCCATAAACATTCTCGAGGTATGTTGAGGAATGGCCAAGAATAACGTCTATGAGAATCCAAGAGTCCTGAATAGGGCATTAACAGAGTACTCGAGTAATCTACACATCGATTGCTAGAACATCTATCGAGGTTAAAAATGTTACGTCGAGTATCCGTAGTGCCGTCATATTATGTGACCACCGTATGACCGTAGGGGGCGGTGTTGCACTGTTGCAGGTCACAGAGTATGGTGCAACACCGGGTCCAATCCACCGAACCAGAAACAGTTTCGGTTTAAGTTTCGTTTTTGACGTGCTGCATGTTTCTTCATGTTTGCAGTTTAATAATAATAACTAATAGTTTAGTTTTTCCTGTGACTTATTTGCAGCATGATAAATAGTAGGAGCATAATATACGCTCCCAATGTTTTGTTGGTCTTTTTTTGTAAATAATTACCTTTTTTTGCGGTTTTATTTATTTATTTATTTTTGTATCTTGAGATCTATGACGTCATCAAATACTCGAGTTCTACTCGGGTTTTATTATGTTAATGTCGAGTTTAAAAATTATATACTCGTTCAACCCCTAGTCCTGAAATGATGACACAAAGTTTATTCAGCTGGTTTCATCTGGTTATCAGTTGAAAATTCCTCAGGGAGGGGGTGGTGAGCGTCAGATCACGTGTTCTCCAGGCAAATTCAGATAAGATGACCTTCAAGTTCAGCCAAGGGAGCCAAATTCAGATAAGATGGTCTTCAAGTTCAGCCAAGGGAGCCAAATTCAGATAAACACACAGTTGTTTAGGGGACAGGCAGAACTTAACGACATCTACCTTGAGTCTGTGTTGGTCCACTCGGTTCCGAAATGTCCAAAATAACATGGCCACACCGATGGAACATGACTGAGTAAAATCCCCAAGATCTGATCCATTCAGCCCAAAGCATTTGAGTCCGGGTACTCGAGACACGAACCAAGCCATCATAAAGGCAAGCAGCGTGATCGGGTCCAAATTTGCTGCCGACAACTTCCTTGATTGTAGATAAAACCAGCAACAAGCTGAATCCAAAAAGCAGGAACCAGTTATCGAAAATCCAATTAAATATGTGTCCTTAAAATCCACAGATGGCAGCAGAGATAGACACATCATCGAATCTTCCAAGTCAATGAGATATCCAGCTGCGTACGTGCCAACAGGACAAATTGGCTCGCCTAAAGCCTGTCTTCTCTTTGGAGACAATGTTGTAAATTGAGTTGAGGGACCAACTGCTCAAAACAAGTCCATAATTATGGTTCGGAAGAAATGCAAGAGAGTCTCACAAGCATGGATAATCAGCAGCAAACTTGCTTAGTTTGAAGGGTTAATCAATCAACATTTATTTAGACAGCTAAATCCCATTGAGCCTCGAGGACTCATTTACAAGAGAGACCTCATTTCAACAAAGAAAGATGACAACAATGGACAACAGCAACAACAATAAACAGTTATAAAAAGTCATACTGCAGGTTTTTTTTTTTTTTTAACAAATAGGATGGCTAAAAGGAAAAGGTAACAAAACAAAAAAAACAGCTAGATTCCAAGACAAATGTAGAAAACTAAAAACAGGAACATGTCTGCATTGGACCCTGCCAGGTGTCCAACAGATTCTTAAAGACACTTAGAGAGGTCAAGGTCGAGAGCTTCAAATGTTTTTGTAAGATATTCCAGGAAACAGGAGCGGAATAGGAGAAGGCCCTTTCGCCTAGTTCAGTCCTCATTGAGGGAACACTGCAGGTAATAATGTCCTGAGAGCGCACGCTGTAGCTGCACTCACACAGAGACATGTAGGAGGAGATGTATGAAGGCAACAGACCAAGAAGTGATTTAAAGATGAAAATATACCAGTGAGAGAGTCTGCGTGAAGTTAATGATGTCCAGTTAACCAGTGAATACAGGGTGCAGTGGTGGGTACGATAATCACAACCAGTTATGAATCTTAGTGCACCATGATAGACAGCATCCAACATCTGCAGCATCCAACATCTGCAGGGTTCTTGTAGGAGCATTCATGTAAATAATGTCACCGTAATCAATGGAGGGAAGGAAGGTCACAGATACAAGGCGTTTTCTAGCATTCAGGGTTAGACAGGATCTGTTTCTGAAAAAGAAACCCAGTTTAACTTTCAGTTTCTTTATCAAGTTTTCCACATGGAGCTTAAAAGAGAGATGTGAGTCGACCAAGATACCCAAATATTTATAGGAATCAACAAACTCAATGGGGACACCATTTGAGGATAAAATAGGAGGAAGAACTGCTGGGACCAACTTCCTATTTGAAAAAAGCATCCCTTTGGTTTTGTCGGCATTTAAGACAAGTTTGAGGCGGAACAAATCAGTCTGGATGATGTTGAATGCAGATTTCAAAAGCTGGAAAGCCTTAGCAACAGTTTTAGCTCGACAATAAACAACTGTGTCATCAGCATAGAAATGTATGGATGCATTAGGGATTTTTTTACCTACATTATGTATGTAGATTGTAAAGAGGGTGGGTCCTAAGACTGAGCCTTGTGGTACACCATTGTTGACTGTTAAATAACTGGAGGAAGTACCATTATGTTGAACACATTGCCTCCGGTCTGAAAGATAGTTAGAGAACCAACCAATGGTGTGTTCTGAGAAACCAATTTCTGAGAGTTTATGACACAAGATGTTCTGATCCACAGTGTCAGAATCTTTAGACAGGTCTAAGAAAAGTGCAGCACAATAATCCTTAGCATCCAGTGCTTCAACAACATCATTAAGAACCTTCAGTGAAGCAGTGGTTGTGCTGTGTTGTTTCCTGAAACCAGATTGATGTGGAGGTAAGATGTTAAATGAGTCCAGGTAATTTTTGATTTGAGAGTTTATCAGTTTTTCTAGAACCTTGGCTAAAATGCAGAGTTTAGAGATTGGTTGATAGTTGTTCAGTGAGGTGGGGTCTCCTCCCTTCAGCAAAGGAAGAACAAAGGCTGTTTTCCAAGTGTCTGGGATGGAGTTTTGTCTTATGGAGAGATTGAAGATGTGGGTCACAGGGACTGTGATGATATGAGCGGCCAGCCTTAAGAAATAAGGTGCAAGTTCATCTGGTCCTGCAGATTTTTTAGGATCAAGATCTTTTAACAGTTTATTGACCTCACTGACTGAGAATGGAGAAAAAGAGAAGCTGGGATTAACTGAGGATTGACTTGTAGGAGGGATTTGATTTGTAGAAGTTTGGTTATTAGGGGAAATGGCTGATTTTCTGTTAGTAACTGTGTCAAATAAAGAACTAGAAGCAACAAAATGTTTGTTGAAACAGTTCAGGATCTCGTGCTTATTATACACAGGAACAGAGTTAACGAGAAGTTGTGATGGGAGGTCAGATGATTGGGGGGTGCCTGAGAGAGATTTGATGGTTTTCCAGAATCTGTTAGGGTCATTTAGATTTTTGGAGGTCTGAGATAAGAAATAATTGCGTTTTGCTGCTTTGACAGCAGTTGTGCATTTATTCCTCATCTGTCGAAAACTCAACCAATTAGTGTCTGAGTCAGATTTTCTCGCTGCGGCCCAAAGATGATCTCTCCTGTGAAGGAGGTCAGCTAGCTCTGGAGTAAACCAGGGGCTGTCTCGTCCCTTTATTCTGAACTGACGAAAAGGAGCATGTATGTTCAGAAAATAAATGAAACTATTATGAAAATAGTTCCAAGTGGAGTTCACGTCATCAGTTAACAGAATACGATGCCAGTCAAAGTGAGACAGATCCCAGAGGAATGACTGTTCACAAAAACGTTTCAAATCCCTTTTTTGAATTAATCTGGGCTTAGAAGGTGGAAGTTTAATATCTCTCAAAGCAGCTGTCACACAATGATCACTCAAAAGATCAGCGAATACACCTGTACCAGGGAATTTGTGAGGCATATTATTTAGAAACAGGTCTAAGATGGAGGATTTTTCTGGATGGTTTTTATTTAATCTAGTGGGAGAGTTGATCAATTGGGTAAGATTAAAAGACAAGCAACATTCCTTGAATTTATCACAGAGGGGGGTCGACTTATACCAATCAATGTTGAGGTCTTCAGCCAAAAGGACCTCTTTGAATTTTAAATTACCAAGAAATTCCATGATGGCAGTCAATGCCTCAGGTGATGCCGAAGGGGGATGGTAGCAGCAGACTACAGTTAAAATCTGGCCTCCATTCAAGGTGATGTTTACAGATAAGGCTTCAAACTGGTTTGGAATTGTTTTAGAAGACATAAGACTAGAAACCAGAGAATCTCTAATGTAAATAATGACTCCACCCCCCCCTTTTTTGACGATCACAGCGATAGTTGTAAAATCCATTGATTGCCACGTCATTATTCATTA